TCAGTACCAAGTCAATTAAGAGCAGATGGGGCACTGGCAGCCAGTGGCTCCATTCAGGAGGGAACAAGCTGGAGGGCAGAATGTGGAGCGGTTCAGGAAAGGAGGGATTTTCCACAGCAGAGAAGGAGTTAGGAGGATACAACAGGGACTGTGCAGATGCCAGAGAAGTAGAGAGGGTCAAATAGAGATCAGGAGAGCCTTGGAAAAATCTCATCTTTTCACACACTGGCTTCAGTTCTCTTTCTTTCCTCCGTTTTACAAAAATCTCTAAAGCCTCTTCCTTTTCACTTTCCCTTTCTATCCCTTAATGTTTGTGGTTGCCTCTGACTCAGATTCCTTCTAAGGGAAAATAGGTATTACATATTTCCAAACAGCTTTTTTATTGGATAGCTGCTCCCTTTTGGGGTGATGCCCTCTATGCCTGACAAGCTTTTGTCCTTATGGCACTGTGGATGTGAACATTAGGTCTGGAAAGTGTAATGGCCCAGCTTGCAATCTGAGTGCAGGGAAATAACGAATCAGTCATCCAACCAAATGCTAATATTTGCATTTGCCATTGACATATAGAGAGCAAAAGTGCTGGTAGAAATATTTTTGAATTTTATTGCAGGCTGAGATGATACCCTGAGAGAGGGAAAGTAGGTCTGATCCTAGACCCAGAGTGATCACAGTTGTATTTGAAGTACTGTGAAATGTCAGGTCTTTGTGATTCTCATTGCAGTCACTAAGATGACAATGAGAAGTCACTAAGAGTGCTTGCTGATGTCCAAGGCAGGGCATTGGGAATTACACCACAGTGTCATGGGACTCAGGATTTTCTGTGCAAGACTTAGGAACAAGCAGCAGCTTTTGTTCAGCTGCCTAATTCACTGGTTAGCTGAAAATTCAACTGGCACATTCATATCTTAGCACTTATTAAATGGGCACCTCAAATTGATAACCATGAATAATACTTTATCTTTTTCTGTCTCTCCCTGACTCCCATCATCATTCCCAGCAAATTTTCAGGAACATCTATGAAAATATATATATATATATATATATATATATATATATATATATATATCAGAAGGCCTATCTATTCCACATGTTTTGTTTTGCATCCTGTTCTGTGCTTACCTGCTGCACTCCAGAATACCTCCATTTCACTTAGGTGATAGCTGAAGTATGCAAAAGTTCTAACTCTAATTTAATCAGTTTTACCTTTTCATGCACTTGATGCCTTTTCATTTTCTAGAAGTTGAAATACTAGGATACAATTATGAAGATATTCAAGAAGTGGTAAATAAGTGCTCATGTGTCATAAAATGACAAATGAAAAAGCCTACTGTAAAAGAGAAATGTTGATTTCAGTTGTCCTGAGAATTAGTAAAGATAGACATTGACTGGTGAAGATATGAAATAGAAGAAAAGCCCCATGAAGATGAAAAAGAGCTATTATCTCTTAGATGCTGTCACCTCTTTTCAAGTACAATATTGTGCTCCCCTGAGGATGCAATTTAAACTGATAGTGCATCACAGAACTCCTTTGCAGCCTTTTCTTAGGCAGGCAGTTGACTTAGGCAGCAGTTGCACTCCTCAGTACCATTGACTTGTAAAAAACCTTTGTTGTGAGTATAAAAATACCAGGATTGAAGTCAAATGCTCTTCAATTAAAGACCTATTTAGGTGGGAACAAGTAGAAATTCTGGCAGTGCTATCAAAATTGAACTGCTTTGCAAAGCTACATCTATCTTGGTTTTGGACTTCATTAAAAAACAGAACCAGCACCGAAAGAGTAAAGAGATGTATCTCTGGAGATGAAAAGAGTTTAGAAAAATACCAGAGTTATGTATTTGGTCATCTTAGAACTATTCTAGGTTTTCATTTTGAAATGAGATTTTTGTTTCCATCTGTAACTTGGAAAATGTAGAAGAAAACGTCTAAAACTTGAAATCAAATTAAATGCATAAGAAAAAGAATCCTGATGAAAAATTTCAACATCAAGTGTAAAATTATCACAATCATCTGTGAAATTTGGGCTTTCACCCTTCTCATAGCCTTACTGAGCAGGCACACCCTCAAGTGTTTGGAATAAAATAATTTTGCCATCAGTGGATTAAAATATAAACCTGGACACATATGTTCACTACAGCACCATCAGCACTTGAAAAGCAAATTTCTGTTGCTGCAGGATTTGATCCATCCACCACGAGAGGGAGGAAAAAAAGAATGTTCTAAACTTGCAGATGTTTTTCCTGGAGGAGTAATGACTCTTATGTAAATAATCACTTTATTCTGCAAGTGCATACAATTTCATTCCACAAATTGATTTCACCTCTTCTGCCCTTTTCTCTGGTGCAAGCCTCTGCTAGATCTAGCAAGCCTCATTATTCTCTTTTTAAATATCAAAGCTATAAACATCCAAGTCAGAGCTGTGTAGGAACATCGTTTTCAAGTAACATCTTGAAATCTCCAAGTTGGTGTCAAATACAAATCTTGGCTAACACTGTGAATGTATTTTATCACTAATGTGGAAAAAATGCACCTTTTTTAGCATCATCTTCTGTGGGCAGGTAATGAGAGAGGAAAAACTAAACATACTATAAACATCAGAAGTGATGGAATAGTCTGGGAAATAAATTCTTTTGCTGCAATACAACTGTGTTCCAGTTAAGCATCAAACATGCTCTGTGGTTGTTTGCTCAACCTCTGTACGTGGCAAACCACATTTACAGTGCTGAGCAAATCTGGCACTAAAATTCATCACCAGTGAGCAGAGCAGGGGGACACTTAACATGGTATGCCCAGGGCCACCAGTGTCACCTCACAGAGATAACTGGGTGTACTCAGAAATTACAGTAATGGAAAGAGGAGCAGAATCATCCCCTAAATCTTTGTGTGTTCATAAACTGTCACTGTCAGTTTTCAGCTACCCTGTGTTGTGAGCTGCAGTGGATTTTTTTCTCTTTTTTGCTGTCTTTCATGATACATGTGCATGTCTCATAAATACAATTTATCGTTTCTCCTTTTAAGCTGAAGTGGTTGGAGAAAGAGCATCTCATTCATTCCTGAGGGAAGATAACTTGCCTGAGGAAAGTTTGGTTTAGGCAGTTAGTGAGTAGCTCTTATTCTTAGAACCTGAAGGTATCTGTTTCTCAGATAATTATATTTTGGGAGTATATTGTGATATGTTTCAGCTGTGAGTATGAATTACAGTTTTCTAGCCCATTGTTTCAGGAATACTTTGTCAGTGAATTTCACAGGTTAATTACACATTGTTCAACAAAATGCTACTTTTCATTGTTTCCTCAGACGGCATTCATTTTTGTAGTACCTGCTTGTAAGGTAGGGATCTGTTACATCAGCTTTGTTTTCAACTCTCAAAGTAGCAAAATTTCCTTATGTTCTAAGTGGAAATCTTCCACTTCCTGTAAGGGTTACTCCTTTCTCCTAGGTGGTCTTTTTTTGTATGTTCACTACTGCTTATGGAAAAAATGTTAAGTGTAAGAGCTAAAGTCAAAGCCAGAGCTCAGTGTGAAGCTGGGTATTAATGCAGGGATTGCCACTGGGGATGAGCCCTGTTCCTGTGGAGCTCAGCTTTCCCTCTCTGATGGATGCCCCTGGTACGTATTTCAGAGGAAAGTGAGCACAGCCCTCAGTAAGGAAATAATGAACCTAACACAGAAAGTCTTTTGAGCTGTGCTGTGAAAAATGAGAGTCTGTATGTTTACTTATTATGCCCAGTCTAAAGCAGCTCTTGGGGCTTTTTCTTGTTCAGTGTAACTGTTTGATCCCTTCTGATACTCTGCTCTTCTCATAGTCTCAATGATGTCTTGTAACAATGAGTTTCACCTCAGGTTAATCAAGTTCTCCAGAAAAAGATGTTTTCCTTTATCAATTTTATATGTGTTGACTTTTCAATTTCATTCAATGTCCACAAGAGTAGTTTTTATTTCCCTTTTTCTACCATTCATTATTTTCTAAGCCTCTGCAATGTCTTCCCTTCTTCATCTCCTGTCTAAAGCAAACTATTTCAAATGTCTTAGCTGATTCTACTTGATTTGTAAGCTTTTAAGTATTTTTATTTCATTTTTGTACCTGTTCTAATTTTGTAATGTACTTTTAAAAGATTAGAATTTGAGGCATAAGCCTGATCTGTAGATTGGAAATGGGATATTATTTGTATAACTCTGATTCTTTTGACTCTTTTTGTTTTTAGTTTCCTTTGCTCTGGGGGTCCCATATGTACTGGAATATTTTCAGGGGAACTTCCACCACTAGGCAGATTCTCAAAACACCTCCCACAACTACATTTTCACTTACCTGGGACAGTAGAAGTGCTTGAGATGACACTGTGCTTTCTTTGTTATTCCAATGAAAGGGCACACTGTTTGTTTTCAAAGCATTTTTTTGGGCTTTTTAAATGACCAAGGACATATATTTGTCAAATACAGGTGAAAGACAGGCACCTGGAGTGGCTAATTCAGTAGTGTTCTGCTCGTTGTGAAACTCAATTGTCTGAATGAAGCCATGTTTCTTCCTGAAGAGAGGTTTAAGTAATTGCAGTTGTAGTTGTGCAGTTTAAGCTATTAAATAATAGTCTTTTGAGGAGTTATCTTGAGATGCCTCAGCACCAAAGTTTAGCCTCTGCATTTTAAAACACCTTTAATTCTCTTTTTCCAGAGTGCTGCCCAAACTTGAATTTATCTAGTTGAATTTGTCTGACTTATGAAAATGCAGTTTGCCACAAGTATTGGAAAACAGATGATCTCCCAAGTCAGAGATTGCTTCCATAACTGGTGAATTTTCATCATTCAGAAAAACTTTCTCAAACTTTTTCTCTCATTTAATACCTTTGTAAATGAGGATGTAGCACAGAAAAAGTCTAGACTATGCTTAACTTTCAGTCCTGATGTAGCAGCTTTTTGGCTTGAAATTAGAGGTGAAAAATAGGAGTGCAGATTGCACATATCTTTTATTTTCTCTTTTTTTTCTTTTTTTTTTTTTTTAATCCCCAGATCTAAACGTCCAGTGCCAGTTTCAACCACAGCTCCCAGAATTGACTCTCCCAGGGCTGTAATTCCCCATCAGAAGGTAAGTGACACATTTTTCCTCAGCCACAGTGAATGCCATTTCTATCTGCTGTGGTGAAGGTAAATATCTATTACAGGAAATAGCTTCTGCCTGCCCCAAATAATTAAAGATTGAATGAATGCACAGGCAGCAAAACTGCTGCAAGGTGATGTATTAGTGATCTGTATTCGTCTAATTTCTGATTAGAAGGACCAAAACATCCAGCTATCCTCTGATATGATTTGGTCTAGCCAATTCTGAGCAACTGTTTTCATCTTAGCAACAAGAAGCAACTAAAGCTTCTCAAAAATCCAGATTTGCTTTCGTAGATTGTTGGGGAGAACCATTAGACTGTGCCTCAATCTATCCAAATCCTGGCTGCAACTGGAATGACACTGATTTGGAGAGAGGACATGAGGGCATTTGAAAACTTGCATCATATTGTGTTCTTATCATGGTATTCAGAAGACCTGAGAATAAAAAATAAAGAGGACAAGTCAATTTAATGAATAACAGCAAGTGGCAGAGGAAATTAATGGCTTGGTTTCCATTGTCAAAGCACATCATGTTTCATAAAATAAATGTTCATTTTAGAATAAACACTGACTGTACCTGGCAACTCATCTTCTGTATCTTTGGAGACACTGAGGAGCAGGGGTACCTGAAAGGTGGTGCATATTTCCCTAGGCTCAGGCTCTGGGCAGGACATTTGTATTGCTGATGCATTTCATTAGATAAATGGACAGGAGCTAAAGTTTCCATTGCTGCAACTTATCCCTGCTGTCTGTGCCAGTTTCATCCCCAGCATGCATAAAATAAAAAACACTGAAGATCAAAATACATAGGGAATTAGATGATTTTCTACTGGTTTTGACAGTTCCAACATCCATAGATCAATTTTAAGTAATTTTTATAAACTCTGTGCTTTCCAAATTCAGAGCACAGATGGTAGCATCATCCCTGAAACTGCTGCAAATAGGTTCAGAACAGCAGAAGAGAATGCACCTGGGGGGAATAATTTGCTTCAATTTTGTTTTGTGAAATTTTAAATTAACCTGACTGGCTATTTATTAGTTGAGGCAGAAATTGTTTTTTTAGATTGGATCTTGTAAACTTTTTTGGCAAGGGAAGATGAAATTAAGAATTAATCTTACTCAGAGTTGTTTCTGTTTATATCGTGATGTTATAAAAAGTTATTTTGGAGGAACTTATTGGAATAGTCACTGAACAGTACTGTGAAATTCCTAGACCAAAAGCCATGAATCATTCTTTTGGTTAAACTGGTGTTTGACTGCACCAGCAAAGTAACAGGGACAGGAAGGGAAAGGAGTTCTCATTTTCCCAGAAGGTGCACCCAGAATGCTGTCAGTGTTCAAGGCAGTGAGTAGATGTGTCTCATCAGAGTTATTCACCAACATGAGATTGACACCTGCCTTTTGGGGCTCTATACACCTGCACAGGTGTGAAAATTTTGTCTCCTTCCTTCATAGGCACATAAAGCTCTTATATATTGGACTTTCATTACTCTTTCAGATGCATTTTAGGTGCATTTCTTCCTTGCCAATTGTCAGTTTTAAAATTGCTGACAGAAGTTTTCAAAGCCATTTACCACAGAAAATACTTTTCTCCCTTAATTATCTACTGTATAGAAAAGTTGACTTTACACACAGCAGGGATTTTTTGAAGGTCCTAGAAGACCCCTTGGCATGAAAGCCATAAAGACACTTTACATTTCCTATTCTAGCCCTTCAGAGAGAGATGAGGATCAAAAGACTCAACCCATTTTCAGAAGCTTGCTGCCTTATGTTTGAGAATTCTGTGCCAGGTGCTCAGGAAAGGTTTGCAGGAGCTGCTGGAGGCAGCCTTTTCTGAGCCAGCTGCAGGCAGTACCAGTGGCTGGAAAAGGGAATTAGTGGCACCTTTCTAGAGAAAAGGGTGACATCCAGGGGAAGGTATGGGGGAAACAGGTTATCTTGCAGTATTCAGGAAGATCTTAGGTGTAGGGTCTTTCACCCAAGGGAAGAGGTAACATCAGACTGCTGGACCCTTTGCAGGTCAAGAGGAGTGACACTTGTGTCACTTGTGTACACTTATAGCAAGTTTTAAGTGAAGAAGAATTCTTCTCTGGAAGTTGTTTGGAAGGGAAAAAGTCGTTGAGCTCTCAGAGAAGTCTCAAAGTCCAGAATAAAGATACTTTACTGATAGAGGCAGTGTGATGCTGATTTGGCTGTAAGCTGTGTTACACTAAATACACTTTAAAACCAAGGTTTCTTTACGTGTCCCTTTATTATTTCTAGTAACAAGTATCACTGTAGAAATAAAGAATTCTGTGACACACACACAGGCAAGAGTCACCTCCACACTTCTGCTTGACAGTGTTTAGACTGATGGTTTACATGAAATTAATTTGATGGTATTTTTTAAAAATCAGCAAAAGACTGCATTACAAGACAGTCGTGACAGTGTCATCCTCATACATCATGAGAAGCTTTCCTCACCCTTCTTTGGTTAAGGTTAAGGTGTGGCAATATTAGCTAAACAATCTGCATGTGCAACTTCACTGTCTAGTTAAAACCATAAATCCTCTTGTGCATTATTGCTGATCTGATTGCAGCTTCCACTAATTTTCAAGCATGTACTTCTTTCACTGTTTACTGGGGTTTTTTGTTTTATTTTTGTTTTAGGGAAACAAACAAACTTTTTTCACAAAGATCAGTCATTCTTTCACAAACCTGAACAATGTTATAGATGATACAGGTTCTGCAACCATCAGGTTGTAGGGCTGTTATTGGAAATACTATTTGATTGCTTTTCAGTTTCGCTATATCTGACATAAATCTCAAACTAGAAACAATTTTCGTTTAGTTTAGTCAAATATTTTTGATTTAGTGAAGTCTTTTGCACAGGTGTTGCATAGCTGGAAGAAAGGGCATAGTTAGTGTTGAAAGCATTCAGATAACAGTAAAAGTAAGCTTGAGTCCAAGGATTTAAACTAAGCCATCAATCAATGAACTCATTGACTGCAGCTCTTCAGAGGGGACATAACACAAGTGAAGATTCAGATCAGTGCAGTTGAAAACATTCAAGCTGGTATTTTAGGGCTAAGCATGGCTTTAACATTTGTTCATTTGCATGAAGGTATTGACAGCCTTGTTAATTCTAATAATATGGCTATGTGTTGTGCTTTCTGTGAAACACTGCTGACAACACTTATTTTGGAGTCCCAGTGAGCATGTTGTCATACTTATGATTTGTTTCCTGCCAAATTTGGGAGACTGTATGTCTAAGAGAAAATAGATGGAGATGACTGACTTTTTAAGTAGAGTATAGGACGGAGAAGCTGGCTTAGCCAAAAGCAGTTTGATCATGTCGTTGAGAGTCATTCAGTGCCATGGTGCCTCCATTCCCTTTATCCTCTAAAAAATTTAAAGCAACAGTTGCTTCTTGAGCATGTTGGGTGGTCAAAATCACTGGTATACTGTTAAAATTGTTCTCCCCAAAGTGCAAGAGGTGAGTAATGACTGTAGGGTCACAGCAATAGATAAATAGAGAATGATTTGTCAAAGGAAGACGACATGCAAAACCTGGTATTGTATCTCCCAATCTAAATTTATTTCTCACTTCCCTGATATATAAAAAGGAACATTTGCCTTTCATAGAAATTGGATTTTTATAAACAACTAATAACATTTCAGAATGGAAATTGAGCTGATTCCTAGCTTCCTTCTATTTCAAAAGGTTTGAGACTCCTCTACATTTCTCAGTTTGCAGCTCATTCCCTGACGTTAGGCAGTTTTCCTCCCGCAGTAAGGGAATGAGCTGCGCGATCCCGCATCTTCCTGAAGGGAAGCCCATTGCTCAGTGTCAGAGCCTCCTCTCCTGGTCGGCTCGAGGGTAGCATCAGGCTCCCGGAGCTGGAAATGTCAGCTTGCTTTTCCAGCCGCTGAAACAGAATGGGATGAGAGATGGGGAACAGGGGAACGTTTGTTATTGATGGCTGCATTTCATGTGATGCAATGCTGAAAGCTCAGTGCTGCTGCTCAGTATTAGACATTTGGCCTTCAGTCTGAAATTCTGCAGTGAACAGATTTTGACACTGAACTGGAGACAAAAAATAATTCTACAATATTCTCCCAGGAATAAACTGAATCAGAGATTTTTTGGTTAGTCACAAAAGGGAAGAGCTAAATATCCTGATGATGGGGCAGTAATTATTTAGAAGTACAGCCTCTCCCCTAGACACTTCCTATTTCATCCATTTTTTCCCCCACAACACAGGAAAAACAACTGCCCTAAATACCCTGTCCAAAATATGAACTCAAGATGGAGATTGCTAACCTGGCACTGCTGGGTTCTTAAGAATTCTAATACTGACTTGCCAGTATGCTGGTATTCCAGCTAGAGATCATTTAAGGAGTAAAGCCAGAACTCCATTTGTGCCAAAAGGGACCAAAAGCATCAGCCATAATTTTTTACGGCTGCCGTATAATTTCCCCTTTGCCTACTGTTACTGTCCAGTAACACCAAGACTATGAAAATGCATTAAGGCTAAGGAAATATGTGGCTCATTGAAGTCACTTCAAAGGAAATTTGTCTCATTAGCAGTGCAAACTGATACTTTACAATCAGCTCTCCTTACATATCCTTTTATTTTGGGGTGTAGGAAGAAACCCACAGTTAACTAAAAGCCACAGAGTTTTCAGGGTAACAAATTAATATAACTCCAGGATACCCTTTTTCTTCTCTGTTACATCTGTGTTTATTTTTTGTTTATTAATTATTTTGTCCCTCTGTGCTGGCATGTAAAAATGGTTTGCCCAAGTGATTACTTAATTTTTGAACATATTTGTGCCTGGTTTTGAACACATTTTTAGAGAGAAGCCCTGTTTTCTGTTTATTTACTGATATCTAGAAGCTTTCAATAGACCACTGGAAGGGATTGTTGTTTGCTGTTTTCAGTGTCAGGGTATAATAACTGAAGAATGTATTGCAAATGTATTTATTTAAAAAGGCATGGTCTGAAAATGCTTTTAGGATTATCTGTTTCTACAGCCTCAGGCAGCTATTAATGCCAGCTAAAATCTCTTCCTGTTTATCACTAAGAAAAATTATCTTAGTTAATTTTATCTGCCTTACATTTTTGATTCAACATGTCTTAAATGTGTTTAATGTTATGATTACTTATATCCTTAGACCTTTAGGGTTTTTTCCCCAATAAATTTTAATTAATCAATGTATATTATCTTGATTTTTATTTTCAAATGTACACTCCCTAAATTTATACATGCAGTATAGAAAAATCCAAAAGGGCAATAAAAATATTTTTCTTGTGAACCATAGTATCAAAATTAGATTACATTACTGTAATGATGATACATTATATTAATGATAACCAATACTAGCAAAAGCATAGAATCAGAGGCCAAATTATTCTCAGACCTGTATTTCATGCAAGGTGTTAAAGAAGATGGTTGCATTGCCAATGAATGAGGCAAAACATCACTGCAGGCCACCACCTGCTCTTGAACTGGCTATCACTGAGGCCAGATTGTGGGCTCCATTCTTGCTTCAGGATGCTGTCCCCTGCCTGTCCCTGTCCCCTGAGCTGGACTGCAGCAAGCAGCCAGCATTACTGGGCCTCTCAACTGTGAGCACTTTTCTTTTTTTGATATCACCTCTTATTTTGGTTTCACTAAGGTGCATTTATAGGGAATCATTTATGAAACTCAAGTGTTGGACTGTGTTTTTCTAGAATAAGTTTTTGGTAGATTGTTTTGAATCTGAGCAGCAGCACAGACTTCTATGGGTATAGGTATTGTAGGGGAGATTCCTTTGGGTAAGGCAATACCTGCTGCTGTCCCGGTTAGGAATATTATCTGGGACAGGATTGTAGGATCACACACACACCTGCATTCTCAAGCACACATTCCCTCAAGTGGAAATGAAGCAGGAATGACCAGCATAGGAGCAGCCTCTCTGTGGAGCAGTTCTCGAGTCCTGTTGGTGTCTCTGCTAACCCCGCTGCATGGCCTGATCAGCATGAACCAGAGCCCAGGATACCTGTGCATCATTTCCATAACCTCAAGTGCACTCATAGACAACAGAATGGTGTGGTTTAGAATCATTGTGTCTTTGTAATAATGGCATTGACTTCTATGGTTATACAGGACCTAAAATTATTCTTACCTCAGAATGTTTGTTTTTTAATTTCTTAATTATCTTAGAAATTAATGGACAGTGTTGCCTTAATATAAAATTATTGCTGTGAGGTTGACTAGTAGCAAATGCTCTCTTAATGTTAAGCTTTATTTGTTTATTTCAACTAAAAACTAGTAAAAATAATGCCTGAATTGGTTTTGCTTCCCTTATTTTGAAACAATGCATTTCTTTGTTGAAAATCTTCCCTGAAAGTTTGAATGCTTTGGCCCCAATCTGTTTATTGCTAGTTTATGACTATGTTTACAGCATTAATTGCAGATATGTTATTTTTGCATGTGTTCTATGATTGCTCTTTTCTTTTTTTTTCTTTTCTTGGCCTGCATGTTTGCTACTACAGGAACCTGCTTGGGAAATCAATGGCAACAGAACAACCTTCAGCCCTCTAACTAACACGGCGACTGGGCCTGTGGGTAGTGTTTTAGCAACCAATGGAACCTTTTCAGGCTACCTCAACCAGCAAGAGATCAGCCTTTCAAATAGCTCTTCCTACCAAAAGACTACCACAGTTAGATCTTCCATGTCCTCTCAGTCTGTGACTCCTGACATTTCACCTGCCAAGAGCTCGTTAGGTTCCAAAGCAAGCCCTGCTTGGGCTGGTGGCAGTAGCCCCGCTCACCAGCTGAGCCCTGCAAGGCAGTATAACAACCCCATTGGCCTTTACTCGGCAGAGACCCTGAGGGAAATGGCTGAGATGCATAAATTGAGTCTCAACCGAAGGGCTTCGGAAGGTGGACTTCCTAGAGGGTAGGTAACATGGTAACATCTTTAATTATTTCAATAAGTAATGAACTTGATGAGCAGTGAATGTAATGGTGCTTACCCTATTGTGCATTTGTCTAGCAGTCATTATTAAAGCCTGGATCAATAGTTAAATTTTCCAGTAGCCCCAAAACATACCCACATGGCCATTACAGAATAATGGTTGTTGGTATGTGATGTGCAGCATGGATTGGCTATTGCCAGCAGAGCATGAGGGGGAACAGTAGGACTGAAGTGACTGTAATCATCTCAGGGTTGTGGCACTCAGCAGTTCTAACTAATGCATGGAGTCTCAGAGAACCAAGTATTGCTGTCAGACATCAGAGCAGCTGCTCTAAACCACACCTGATCTTTGGTACTTTGCTAGAGAGAAATGGCTTTGACCAGCAAATCTCACATACCCAGCTACTGGAGTGTCCTGCTGTAATTCCTGCCTTGATGTGTTGGCTTTCCTATGCAAAATGAGTCAGAACTGCAATATTTTGAGTCCTCTGGTTTGAAGAATGTCTTGCATCTGTTAGCTTTGATGTTAACTTTGCTCTGACAAGGAATGATCTCCAGATACTGCCCAGATAGTTTGATCCCATGTCAAGGTTTTCCATGTTCCTTTATTGCAGGTCATCTATTTTATTAGTAGGTTTGTGAAGTGACGAGCTTGGACTGCAGTACATGAGAAAAAGCAGGGAGAAACAGGTTTTCCTATTTTTTTTTGCCTTCATGTATAAATCATCAAACAAATCTAATTTTTTAGTTTATTTGTGGTTTTGGGGTTGTTTTTTTTTTTTAATGAAGATAAATTTCTTCTCTGCTAGGAATATGGGGAAAAGTGATTTTTTGACATTAGGGACTTGGCTGTATAAGGAAAACCAGAAAATTCTGACAATCCACTCAATGTCTGATAGCAACTGCATATCTTCAAGTACTTTATATCCATTTGCAGCAGCTCTTTGTGAAAATAAAACCAAGAGGTTTTAAGTTGTAGAAAAGTAGGGATATTTCATCCTATTATAAGAGCATATACTCCTGTTCTAAATGATTCAAGCAATTCTAGATGATTCACTGCCACTCTCTTGAGCACTCAACATTAACAATCCTAATTACCTTATCTGAGAAAATTCTATCCTCTCTTCTCATACTTGATAATTAAGTAAAGCAATTACCTTTAAAAAAAATTTCAGTTAGTAAGCAAGATCAGGAAAATAAACCTCAGAATACTTGTCTCTTAATTTACAGTTTTCTGAAGAATACCAATTATTGTCTTATTTCAATATACAGAGTTTCCTAGGTGTATATCTTGCTGTCTTTTTCTCCACTATGTTCATAATCCTCCTTAATACCTGCAGGGGTGAGGGTGAAGGGGCTGAATTTTGCATAGCTCAGCATTGTGACTGTTTGTTATCAGAGTTACAATACAACTGTATCCGTCACTCACCAAAATCAGTGTGAGCCTTTCTATTCTGTTTAAATGAAATTTTAGGGAGCTGCTATCTGCCTTCACCATCTGGAGCACTGATGAACAAATAAAAAAATAAAAACCCCTTATCCTGCTGTGTAGGAACATTCTGAAAAGATCAAAGAGCCCAGAAGCACCAAATAAATGTGTCTTGTCTGGTAACTTCTCTGAGATTTAGAGAACTCTACATCTCTGTTGACATGCAGGGAAAATTCAGAGCTCATTAGTGCTATCATTCCCACTCCCACTTGACTGTTATCCATGAAGTAAGAAGTATCTTGCCTCATGCTCTGTGGAGAAAAACATGGAACCTGTAACTATCTTGGGACTTGGTGGCATCCATTATAATCTCAATCTCACAGTGCATATACGGGAATAAGGAAGCACTGTGAGCACTAAATAATCAGCTCTGCTCTTTACTGGGAACAGTTTTGGAGCATCATAGTATTGCAATGCTGTGATATTGTGATGCTCCAAAATGAAATCCATTGTGCTTTCACAAACACGCGCTTAGCTGTATGGTAAAAGCTGCTAGAAAGTTCAAGCATGAGGAGTGGTCTTAAGCTATGTTTCAGTTCTGTGCCCTTTTCACCAGATGATTTAAACTTAATTGTGTGAATTGCTGTTACAGCCAAACCCTTTGGAAAATCCTATCAAGAAGCTGAAATTAATTTTGAGATTACTTCCTTGATCTGTGAAGAATAACAAAGCAACTGTTTCTCTGATACACTTTACATTAAAGCTTTATCACTCTGACCCAAGGTGAAAAATAGGATAGCCTGTTAGGAGTGTGGAACGTGATGTGCTGAAAGCTCTGGAGTGTATGAATAAATATGAACAGTGAGTCATAGTTTGTAATGTGCATCTTTTTCATTCCAGTGTAAGTTATTTTTCACACTGTAGGTCAAGGGCAGTAAATACCTGTCCCACAAGTACGTGCCAGGTGGCTTGGGTTACTGGCCTCTTACTGAGTGACCTCTGTGAGCAGCAAGCTGGGTGTTCCAGACATGTCCCTATATAGAGCCAAACTAAAATTGTGTGTGACTCTGAACTGGGAGGAATTTTCTCATCACATCCTAAACATAAGGAGAAGCAAAGCTTTACTGTTTTTGAAGGAAGCTATAGCAGCCTCTTCACGTCTCAAAAATCTTTGCTGAGATATGACTATTGAGCTGTTCTTCGTGTTTGCACATAATGTTTCTTTTCTTTGGACATAGTTTTATGTTCCTTTAATTAAGGTGTATTTTAGGGGTTTGGTAGTTCTGCCTTGAAGATGTTATTTTATATGTATGGTAGATGCGTGGATGAGTCAGAAAATGATACCATTACACTTGGTTTCATTGTAAATGAGTGCCCAGCTGTCTTGTGTACACCTAAAAAGGATATACGATCACTGATGTGCTTACAGGCTGCAGCTTGTTCCTAATATATCTCTAACAGTTCCTGTAAGAACATTTGGCTTAATGTAGGGTTAATAAAGCTAGAAGAATATTTTCAAATCTGAGAATCTGACCAGTAGCTGCAGAGGGTGATCTGTGGTTGCTTTACCATGGAAATGCAGAAGTGCAAAGCCTTTACTGCAGTTTTGGCCCATTAGAGTGCTTTTGATCATGAAAAGTGCTGTTTGATGTTCCAAGGCAAAAGGATTATAGGTAGGATATCAAAGGTTCTGCAAGGAAAAAGCAGGAAGGGCCAAATCTGCTTGGAATGTCACTCTTTAACTGTAGCTTTGCTGTCCAGTATTTTCTATCAGTCCCAGACACAGAAATGTCACAGCAGCGAGTTGGAATCCTCAGTGCCCAGTTCTGTCAACAGCATTTCATAAAGCCAAGTAAAAAGAAAAGTTTATTAACTGACCATGGATCTCTTCCTCTTTATTTTGCACAAAATAGGATTAACTAGTCTTCAACCAAGAGGCAGAATGTGGGTATTCTAAGCTTTGGGGAAAACAGTTAAGATGAATATCACAGCCCATTACTGCTATTTGTGCAACCACCAAAGAGTTATTGGGAAGAGCACTGTAGTTCAGATGGGGCACACTGTTCTGCACTCCCAGCTTTATCCTGTGTTACGGTGCTTTGGAATTACTGTGCAAGCACCATCACTGGTTTATGCAGAGAGGCAGGAGTTGAGTGTGAACATGCCTTTTTTTCATGCCTTTTTCCACTTAGATGGAACTAGTTGGAATAAAAGATACTGATATGGATATCCCAAAAAACATACAGCAAGTGTGGCTTGCTTTGTTTCATATGGAATAAATTAGGAATGACTATTCCAAAGTTAAATGGCCTACACACCTCTTGGCATAATGTAGGTGCAGTCATATCTAGGCAAATGCTTTGTTATATACAAAGGCATTTTCCTTAGTTTTAGCTTTAAAACAGTTACCAGTATATTCTTTGGATCTTCTCCAAAATGTAAAAGACTTAAAAATCATTCTTCCAAAACCAACTCTGAGGGTGGCCTGAGAACAGACTTTATCCCTGAATATTCAGTATCTAAGATTAAAATATAGTCTCTGCCACTCATTTGCTATTTTCAGATGAGAATATACTCTGAAAATCCTCCATTTTTCCCTCTGCTCCCTCCTCCCTTCACTTTGGTCGTAGTACTTTTAAGGATGCACAGCAATAAGATCATGTTCAACAGTCAGCCAAAATGCCATGGTACCCTACTAAGTCCTGGTGGATCAACTATAATCCCTGCATTTTTTCCTTTCTTAATCATGTTGGGGTTTTCAGGCATACATTTACTTTTTATTCTTTTTATTCTTATCTGTAGATGGTCTGAGAAGAGCTGTAGTAACCTTTTGTAAATATCTTTTACCCTTTGCACTCTACAAACTATTGACTGTTTTCTGTGTGGTTGGTTTTGATGTTGTTTGTTCTCTTTCTCTTCTTCTAGGTCATAACCAACACCGCTGCCAAGTTAGTATCACCTCTGTGTAGTGCCAGATATTTGTGTGATGCTGTGTGTGTGAAGATGTGTTTTCTGGGGTAGCATGAACCCCTGTGTTCCTGCTGTGTCTGCTTGCAAGTGCAAGTATTTTTGTAAACATCTGCTTGGTGTGGCAGGCGCCCTGCGCTGCCCCTGCTGTCCAGCAGCGCTCCCGCTTGGCATTTCCTGGTGATGCTCTAATGCTGTGATGGAGCTGCCACCTGAGCCTGCCCAGTTCTTCTAAAAGCTTTCAGGTGGTTGTGCTTCTGCAGGCAGGTTTAACTTCTCTTGAATCTTTAAGTCATCTTCATGCCCTCAGAGTTTGGAGAGCATTATCTGAGCCTTTTTTGGTGTAGTAGTAGTAGTAAAGTACTTTTAGCTTCAATGTTAAATTAATTTCTAAAGTCTGCTAAAATTCAAATTTATGTTGGAGTAAAATACTGATATGGGGGAAAAATCTGTGAAGTTATTCACCTTGATAAATCTATTGCTCAAAAAAAAAAAAACTATTGACTTGAAAATGTGATTGATCTGCTTTATTTAGGAGACTTCAGAGAGTGCTCAGTTTTGACCTTTAGTTTTCTAGGGGCAGAGG